TTGCCAACCCTCAACTTTCTCGGGCACTTAGGACCATTTTTCAACCGTAGTTTTTAGCCCTTCTGCTCTCATATCAAAGCTCAAAGACCCAGGGAGTTGATCCTGGCGACGATTTACACAGTCTCACCATTTTGGGGGCCAAACAGTCTCCTTTTTCAAAAGATACTGTGGGGGCACTTTGAATGCTAATGAGCCGGTCAAAAATTCTCACTTGAATTAGTGGTGTGCACCTTTAGGACAAGGGGGGGGGTTCACCAAGGCATCTTGTTTACAAATGTACATTCTGGAGGGGGGTGGCGCTGGCATGCTAAGAAACTGCCGGGGTGTATTAGATCTTGGGTCCGCCAAGAGTCGCCTCTTGAAAATGTTGTCAGTATAAGGCACTGATGACTTTGCAACCCAAGTCCTGCCTTGTTAACCACTTCCGGAATATGTTAGCTTGGCAGGCTGCATGAATTGTGTTTCCAGTTCACGTTCTATTCACTGAGTTCAGTTTCAAGACCCCAGGTTTTGCAAAATAAGAATGGACGCTTACGTTTTCGAGATTTCTCAAGTCCATTCCGGATGTGGTATTTTTTTTCGGATACCAACCCTGCCCCCCATAGGTGTGCGCTCTCACTCAGTAAGTCCTTTTGGGTTTGTTTATCCAAATGTTTTATAGCCTCAGCCCTTCCTATTTATTGCGCTTTACTTTTTCGGGTTTCCATTGTTAAGTTTTATTTGAGGACAGGGGAATACATTTTCAATGATGTTGACGCCAAGTGTGACCTCCAGAATTGCTAAAATTGAGGGCAAGTTCGCGCGGCAACCATTTTGTCAACTACTGGTCGAGTTTGCCTGGTAGTAACCACTGGTCGAGTTTGCCTGGTAGTAACCACAGGTTGAGTTTGCCTGGTAGCAACCACTGGTCTAGTTTGCCTGGCAGCAACCACTGGTTGAGTTTGCCTGATAGTAACCATTGGTCGAGTTTGCCTGGCAGCAACCACTGGTCGAGTTTGCCTGGCAGCAACCACTGGTCGAGTTTGCCTGATAGTAACCACTGGTCTAGTTTGCCTGGCAGTAACCATTTGAGTTTGCCTGATAGTAAACATTGATCAAGTTTGCCTGGCAGCAACCACTGGTTGAGTTTGCCTGATGGTAACCGTTGGTCGAGTTTGCCTGGTAGTAACTATTGGTTGAGTTTGCCTGGCAGCAACCACTGGTTGAGTTTGCCTGGTAGTAACCATTTGTCAAGCTTGCCTGGTAGTACAGTACCCAGGATTGTGCAAAGGCTACCAAGGAAAATCCACCAATAGTCGACCAAATGTGTAGCGGTCGAACTTGACAGTAACTGCAGGACCATTCACCAAATTTCGGCTTCGTCTCAGTTACAACTCCACCTCGGGCAGGAGGATAATATTCTTTACATTTTCCAATGGCATTAAGTTTGGAAATACACCTGAATTTGGCCGCTATTCAACCAATTTGATATTTGAAGCAGAATATGAACCTAAATATTGAGCATGAGGGTCTCAACTGAGGGGAGATCAAAGCCGGATGCGGCTTTTTAATCGATTTTAATAGAACTGAAATCTTTTGGTCGGCTGAGGGTTGTACAGGCACTCTCATCATGCGCGCTTTTCGTAAACAGACGGCAATAGTTCGCAGAAATATCCCCATTGTATGGTTGTGTCAGATTTCATCTCCAAATGTACATTTGGCTCATTACTTCGTATTTTCATTTCGCGTCAGTAATCGCGTTTATTGTGTGGCGTTTTAATGCTGCCTGGTATTTTTCAACACCAATTGCCGGCCAGTCATAGCTTCAGTCACTGGTGGTACGCAGAAATGTGATTGTGAGATAATTTATAATAAACGCAAAACAGATGAATAGGATAATCTCTGTTGCAGTCAGAGATGGCGCACTCTGAGTCGGCAGACAGGTGCTGTCCGGATTTGTTTTCGAATTAACACGTCTGCAAAGCTGAATCCATACAAACAGACATGTAAACTCAAACACAGGACCAATGCACACATCATTCTCCTTGGCTACATGCTATGTCATTCCGATTAACGCAGTGGCGGCTAAGCATATCATGATCTCACTGTTTGCATAACAAAGACCCTGTTTGTGTTTCCTTTTTGGCAAACTTGGGAGATTTTGGCGGTACCGTGGGTTCAGCTTCAGGGAACCTTTTAAGTTAAAATTTCTTTCGGTCACAACAGTTGTTGACTTTAAAAACAAGTTGCTATATCTAAGCTCAGAGGCGTTCATGTATATTTTGAGAGAACGCGCCAAATAGATAGGCAACAGAAAAAAAGTAAATGTGAATCTGAAAAAAAAAGACTGTGCCTCGAGCCTTGGCTCCAAGCCAGGCCTGATCACGTCTCAGTTCTTGCTGTTGACGTCGTAAGTATAGTCTTCGAAGTTAGTTGGATTTTGGATTCAGTGACAAAACTCTGCTTATAATGCCTTGGGAAGTTGGAAGGTTTGTTGCGCCAAAGTTGGAACTTACTCCTCCAGGAACAGTGGATCTGTCAATGGGCAAAATTACCCAACAGATCTGTGAAAGAATCATCCTTTGATTAGACCCACAGTTAAAAACAATTCAGGTGGTATAATGCTTGGCAACTATGACATCTCTGGTCTAGTTTTTGTTTGGGTATATAAGCTTCAAAGTAGAGATTAATGTGTCATCTAGCTCTCTGTGAATAGATGTAAATTAAGCATTACTTTGTTGAAGATGAGAACATAAATCAATTATGCGCAATCATTTGGAGTATCTTATTTGCATTTGTTTCCTCTATGACGGTATTCTCATCTCAAAGGAACCCTGGGTTCGTTTTCCCAACAACTCCAAGCACGTGAGCGGGTTTGTGAAGAATTTCGCTTCCCGAGGAGACTCTGCAACCAATCAGACTCAGTTTTCTATTAGAATGAAGGCTGAGTGTCGGACGAGTCATAACTGCGCAATATTACCTGAAGGCCACTCAGTTAACTATAAGCAAGGGGTTTGTGGAAAAGCAGAGACACTTGCAAACTGAGACTTGGCTCTCAATTCAAGAAATTAGATTTTCCACATGAAATGATAAAACTCGTCGTATATATTTGTGTCGCTAGTTTTAAACATTTTTACAGTGCTGGAAAAAGTTTTGGAAAAACATTTGGTGTTTTTGCACATTTTTACCCAAACACATGATTTATTTACAATGTACATATGAAGGAAATGATATCATGAGAACTCAAAATCGGACGTCATTCTGCATGAAAGAATGTAGTTATCCCAAAATAACCCATGACTCAAACTTAGGGCAATGTGCTGGCGTCATGTTCAGCAGCAACATTTTCTACTTTTTATTTTCCCTCCCGTGGCTCAGTTTTTCTTGACAATGCACTGCTGGGAGTTTACCTTGCTCCGGCTTGGCACGTGCTGTTCTCAAGGTTACTCAATGCACGAGAGCTAACTATAATCACAAGCGAAACCCGGCTAAAAGTGAACCCGCCCAACTCAGCCAACAAAAGCACCTAACAAAACAATATTCATGTTGACCTGAATATTATAGTCCCCGGCGCGCGCACGTCCTGGTCCTATTCACGCCACATTTATTCGGACTCTTGGACTGACTGAAATTAAAAGAGATCATATTCTTTTGCATTCAGGGAAGATTCACACCTATGCGTGTCATTTACGCCTATCATCTGTGGTCCGAAATCCTGACAAAGTGATGGTCGATTTTGTTTGGATTTATTTGCTTTGAAGGTCTACTCAAGTATGCTTTTTAATGATGGCAGCGGTGGGTTGAGTGGAAGGAACCAAGATTTAAAAAAATTACTGAAAAATTTTGACTCCTGTGTGAAATTGGTATTTATTTATAAAACTTGTTTACTTTTTGTCAAGGGATGGAAATGAAGGGGGGACTTTCTCTAGAGGAACACACTAAAGGGCAGACATGTAGATATCAGTACAAAACTTCAGAAGGTCATTTGTTAAAGTGAATGGGCTGCGTGACTTCTCTTGAAAAGAAAGCGAAAACGTTTTTCTATCCGTAACTCTAAAAATCTATTTATAACTCTGTAATAGTAAGCAGCGATTTTTGTACAGGGAGACGGGGCCTTAGCGGTTTCAACGAACATTAAGAAATTGTGTGGAGGACGCAGTGGTATAGTGGGGGGGGAGCAACTCCCCCTCCCCCCATAACTCTTGCTCCTCTCTTCCCCTCCCGCCCTCCTTTGAGAGAGCTGCTACCGGTAGCCTACGTCATTCATTGAGAGGAAAACGAACAGCCGCTGATTATAAACTACGCACGGTTTGCCGTCACACATGTTGGTACACGTGTATATTAAATCTCTTCCGGGTGGGAACATCTAGTTGCTGGAAATACATGTATATACCGAAGTTGTCTTCCCTCCAGTTCTGAATTACGCTCATCTGGTTTTGCTGGAAACAACGGATTTGACAAACTAGCTCTCTTTATACCCAACTATACAATGAAAATATTTGCAGCGTGTGTTCTGATGACGACAAGAGTTGCTCCCGTCGGTGAAAAACGTCAAGCTACTTTAGTCATACTGACGAGATATTGAAAGTATATTCAAAGACTAGCACACGACTGTGCTCGAAATCATTGGATGTGAGAGGTTTGGTCGTTATGACAAGAACTGTGCTCGAAATCATTGGACGTGAGGGTTTTGGTCGTTATGACAAGAACTGTGCTCGAAATCATTGGATGTGAGAGGTTTGGTCGTTATGACAAGAACTGTGCTCGAAATCATTGGACGTGAGGGTTTTGGTCGTTATGACAAGAACAGTGCTCGAAAGCATTAGACGTGAGGGTTTTAGTCGTTATGACAAGAACTGTGCTCGAAATCATTGGACGTGAGGGTTTTGGTCGTTATGACAAGAACTAGCTCCTGACAAGTAAAAGGGGGGGGGGTTCGATTTACCCATATTAGTTGGACACATTTTTTTTTAATTGGAGGATTTGATCATTAAAAAACCTCGATAGCTGTTGATTTCAACTATACTTTAACATCAATCTGTACTTCTAGATAGGGAAGCCTTTTAATTTAATAACCTCCCTATATGGTCCCTTTTATGGTCACAACTTCGTTTGACTCGGTAGTTTGTAATAACAGGTTGCTCCATGTACGACCTTCTCTTGATATTGCAATCCTAACTAGCAGCAGTGGATATACATAACCTTCAAATAATTCGTTTAACACCCGAGTACGATTCTATGACATAAAGAATGTCCTCCGGATTACCGTTGTGCATTTTTGGTCCCCGAGGGTTTCTTGGCTAAAAGGGGCACCAATAGAAGAAACAGAACTGACGGCTTTTTAAATGTCACCTCGAAACCCTACCCGCACAGTCAGACGTGTTTCTGATGTGTACGGAAGTGTAGATAACGTAAAATCGAATCTGACGCTTTCATTGATAATCACTTCGAATCCCATATACGGCCTCGTATACAAGTAACTTACCGGTAATTAGCTGTTTACTACTTTCACTGACCCCGTCCTCTCGCAAGGCAATGGTATGGTCGAGTATTTTACGAGCAATGTAAAGTGTAAAATATTGTAATGTAAGAAATAAGTCTCTATAGGACAAAAGAACTAAGCCGAATACTTTCTTAATACTTTAATTGTTACAAACTGTTTGTCTGAAGTCTTAAATTTGTTTTGTAATCATACCTGTGTATATTTACCATCTAATGTCCATGTTCACTCGCATTTTTGTTCCCTCCCAACCGGTGCAATATGTAAAGTACTTGTCACTTGAAAAGTACTTCACTGGATCAGTTTTCAACATTGTTCCCTGCCCAGCGGGCTTCAGTAATTCCCGCCTGAATGCCTGCACTGCAGGGATGTTTGATCGTCATTTCACGTTCTAATTTCAAAGTCCAATTAGCATGTAAGAAGAAGATTCGGTTCCCCGCCGTCGGTGCTCAGTGCATGAATGTGAAAACAAAACAAAACAAAACAAAACAAAAATAGGTTTCACATTCCCAAAGTGTTTACAGTTTTGCAGCTAAGTAGTTAACAATATTTAAATATTGCCACCGGCATCCTGAAAACATTAGGTTCAACTTTTTGTCGTGATGGAAACCTGTTGGAAGTTTGTCATAATTCGTTACGAAAAGAAAACAGAAACTGCGACTCATTTTTCACAAGCCAATTTGTATCGATATCTGGAGCCAAGTGTCTATACATGGAGGCCTTGAGGTGGCATCGCGCCGAGGCTTAACTTTATTTCAATGCATCGCGAATTGCTTTCACGACAACGTGATTTGTGTGATGTATCCATTTTTTTTTTGTGAAAAGTGTTCCGAAAACTGAACAATGAGGCCTTCGCAGTTGCACAGGATTTCTCCTCAACTTGAAATCGAAAGGCTTTGTCGAAATAAACCACGAACAAAAACAACTTGTGAGATTCAGTGAGACATTCTCACCACAGTTTGGGAAGATTCTTTATGATATCCCCTCTTCCGATAATAGTAATGTACATGTAAAATGAAGTTTATGGTTGACCAAACCCAAACTTGAATTGCGTTGGTGTTGAAAATCTTCGTAGTGAGGTTTGGATTTACCATGGCCAATTAAACACAAAAGAGGGTTGTATTTTTCAAACTGTATCACTATGGACCCGCTCCAATAGTATTGAAATTGCGGATTAGAGTAGTGTTGTTACTTCCTCCGAGACTCTGTGGGTTTGCATGCTTACAAATCACACAGAGACCACATGCATGATTGTATTCAAATCCCAGGATGGCATAATAGAGGGACGACGCGTCTGTAGTCAGTTCGAGGCCGAAAGATAAATTCTCCAACGAACCGTGTCTGAAATATTTCAGCCGTCGTTGCCGTGCATGGTTGTCTGGCGTTTGACGTGTTGCAAATAAGAAAATGCTTGAGCAAATTTACCAGCTAAAAACTCACCTACTAACGACTGGTCACGTACATGTGCATAGGATAGTTTGGCGTGTAGGATTTAGGTTAAGAAAGCTCACCTATTGTATAAGTGTTGAAATCGAATCTCTGTCCTTTTTTTTGAGCCTAAAAATTTGTTGATGTGCAGTCAAAATCAAGCCTACAAACATCAGGGCTGAGTGTAACAATGAGTTTTCAAGCAGGTTGCCAATCCAAGAATCATAACCTTGAGTGTGGCCCCCGGCTGGGGCGTAGCTAGGATTTTACTTGTGGGGGCACAAGGGGGGCACCAGCATCTTATGGGGGCACCAGCTTTCAGGAGTGTGACTTTTGGGGATAGCTTTTGTTAGCCTTGTTCAATATTCATTCACCCGTTTTTTTAGGGGGGGGGCAACGGGGGAACCAGGAATTTGTGGGGGGGGGACGTCCCCCAGGCCCCTGAGGCTACACCACTGGCCCCCGGGTCATTTCTATTCATCAAACAGACCAAGTTTTCGGACCCAAACTACCTGTTTTTTGGGCCCAATTCCGCCACTGTTGAGGCACATAATGAGTTTACCAATTCTGAATGTGAAAAGAATGAAAGCAAAAAGGACACACGAGAAGTGATCAACAGCATTCGAGAAAAATGCGCAAAAATCACACCTAAAATTAAAGCTGTTATGTTCAGGTGGGATCATCGCGCAAAAATCTAGTAAACGCCTCAAGAACATCTTCACCAGATAATGTGTCATGAATCCGCTCCCACAATGTGCAGTGGTGAGCAATGGCGGTGCTGCACAGTCTGTGAACTTCTTACCTTTCACCAACATTCAGCGAATTGAAATATCTCGTGCGCATGCGGTGTCGTCAGGGTGGCCGGCTGTCGCAAACGAGTGCGATGAATCATTATTGTCAACAAAGGTACAACACAACACCGAGCGTTAACCATGGTACGTGTATACCAAAGCACCTGGGCTTACCATGAATAGGCCCAGGCCCACCGCTGGCGCTCGACTCTCCAGCGCTGCAATTCTCGGTACAAGTTAGTCGCACCTTAACATGCACCCTTTTTTATCTTTGAAACGTCGCTGTATCGTACACAGGTAAAACAGAAGACAGAAGAATAGTGAGCAAGCCGTGTCTGGGTCCCGAGTAAGCCCGCAATATTTTCCAATGTCATTTTTAAGCTGGACCCGGTTGCCGAAAATTTCAGGTGTCTTCCCCTGAGTCAGAAAAGATTCCCCCTTACACCCCCTTGTCCGAAACGGTATGCAGAGCAACCTTTTCGTCTACTGCCGCCTAATACGTGTCAACTTGTTTTCAACCCATGAAGACCTAGACTTAGTCCCACACACAATTTCACGCGGCTTCAGTTAAACCTACCAACGAGTGCTATGCGGATTTTATATAACAGGTTTTGCCCTTACCCAACGTATATTAATAAGCACTGTATGCTCAGTGCTTGTCCGAGAGCTTGCGAGTGCTATGCGGGTCCACCAATGAATGCGACACTTTGTCATAATGATTACAGGTGACTTCTTTATAATGCATCGTGCTCTTTATTCGGCAAATTCCCTTGTCATTGTAACTGTCATCTTGTTTCTTGATACAGCCTTATTTTGAGCAGTTTGGATACATTGCTCCAGTGGAAGACGGTCAGCTTCAAGACGCCGAAGTTCTTCTCGATGCACTCCATAGATTCCAAGATATATGCGGCGTCACAAGGACGGGTAAGTTCGATGGATGGAGCTCTTTATAGCGCCTGGCCGTTGGGCAGCTCCGACTTTGGGATTTTCTCCACGGATATTTCCAACAGAATGGCATTTACGAAAGTCTGAAAATGTTTGTCATCTGTATTTACGCAGTCAGCGTTGATCAGTTGATCCTGAAGCAGAAAGACTAAAAGCGTGAGGGTTGTTCTTTTAAAAAAAATGGGCAAATTAAGCAGTTGGGTAAAGCTGTAATTTGAGTTTGGCCATTTGTAATAAAACTTGTGTTCATTTTCGTTGTAATTTTTCTAGATTAGTTAAGTTTTCGCAGGAAGTTAAGAATTCATGTTTCCAGTGATACATCGGTTGATGCGCTTCATTTCTACAATGTGATACGCTTCTCTTTGGCAAAGTGAAGTGACACGTTGAAGTACGTGTTAAAATATGGCAGTTGTCTAGAGCAGGTCCATAAGTACGTTTCGTTCAGTTGTTTTTCAGTCCTCAAAAGAATTCAAACATTACTTCTTTCTCAATTTTAAAACCAAAAAGGAAGCAAGATTTTTTTTATTCTTTAAATCCAATATACTGCGCATCTTCTCTCACTTCAAAGTAGTGTGACCTGGCTGAGCTGGGTCAGAGAAAAATAAATATGAGATCTGCTGTTACTTTAGTGGCTTAGCGGTCCGTGAGAAAAACAGTTTTTTCCTTTCACATTTTTGGTAAAGGATTATTTATAATCCTCGACGCGGCTGTGGACATTTGGCGGGCTATTGTCTTTTTTATCAACAGTGGAAACTGTTCACTTCTTTCCTTCTTCAAAAATGTGTTGGAAAAGATTCTCTTCCTTTCCTTTTATAAATTTCCGAACTTTTGCTGTCGTTTTCAAATCGAAAAGCAGCAAATCAAAAAGTATTAAGGAATCGACTGCACATGGACGGGAGATTAGAAGCCTCGAAATTCAGTGGCATATCCAGTGGAGGAAAGTCGCTCCCCCTGCGTATAAGAGACATACTGAAATTTAAAAATAAATTATTTCATGTTTAGAAATTGAATACACCAGCATTCTAGAAACGGTGCTACGAATTTCTTTGCTTTGGGAAGAATTCTCTGACGAATGAAAACATTGGGCGGTCGTTTTTGCAAAAAACTGTCTCCCCTTGGATCTAAACCTGAATACGTCATTGCTTATAGTTTGCTAAGTAAACTTGTTCAGCAATGGAAAAGGGTTTTTAAAAACGGATTGCCAATAATGCACACACGTGCGCATGGGGCCAAATAAACACCTGTTGTAAACTGAAAGTTATGAAGTTAAGATTCATGATTTTGTCAACACCTTTTTTTTTCTTTCTTTTTTTTTTTGGCTTTTTGATTTTTTCTAGACGGTAAAATGGACGAAGCAACCGCAGCGTGCTTCCAGCGGAAGCGATGCGGTAACCGTGATTTTGAGCCGGGCAGCCGGGGCAGTTCTGGACGCGGTCGCAAGCGCCGTTACTACATCCCGACGGAGGCCGAGTCGTGGCAGCCAGAGTCCACTCACATCACCTACGACATTGTCATGTACTCCGATGACCTCCCGCCTAGCGTCATCGATGATTCCATCAAGCGTGCTTTTGAGGTGAGGGGGTGGTGTGGATCTTGAGCACCCGGGAGTTTTCTGGGAAGCCACGCCGGCCAGTTTCATCAGTTTGGGGTGTCTCTGGTGCGGTGACAGTGTAAACCGCCTGTGAAACACCGCTCATAGATGATCTCAGAGTTGCTACTGAAATGTTAACTCAGCTGACTGGTGGTAGATTCCCAAAGTTGGCTGAACAAAACGGAGGGAAGACTTTGCTTCTCCCTATAAGAAATTCTCGGGTGAAGATTCATGAAGGCTCTCGACATAAGGCGGTGGTTGTAAATTTACCCCAGCGCCATTTCTTTTTCTCGACACACAAACACATATTTCATTGAACAGTCTAGTCTGGCATCGCCAATTTGCCATCAAAAGGACCAAGCAAGTATCAGCTACTGACTCTCTTATTCCCAGATTAAGTGGATTATTTTTATTGTTCTCAATTTTCCATTGAGGTTATTTGTTTCCCATAGGGCCTAGTCCATAAACTTTGTTTTACGTTTTATCTCGTTTGTTTTCAAGGCTGAGTCGATTTCCCTCTGTTATTTGTTAAATCTTGTTACTCGTATCTCTCCTCATCCCACTCCATCGTCCATACTCGGTCCAATTAAACACGCCTATTAGGCCCTTCTGGTCTTCAGAGCGATTTGAAATTTCAACCAAATTTAACCTCACAAAGATAAAGGACACCTTTGATTATTGCCACTGTTTGTTCGAACAGTTTAACTGTCTCTCTACTGGTTCATTTTGATTTTTTTTCCTTCTAAAGGTGTGGTCCAACGCCACAGCGTTGTCCTTCGAGCGCAGACGAGGCGGCCAGGTGGATATTACTCTCTCGTTTTACCCCACCATGGAGGAGCACGGCGACAACATGCCGTTTGACGGGCCAGGCCGGATTCTGGCCCACGCCTTCTGGCCGTGGAGTGAGGACCGTCTCAAATCTGACGTGCATTTAGATGAGGCGGAGACTTGGACGGCTAGGTCCTACTCGGGTAAATAGTTTATATATCATGCTGGGCACAAACTGTAAATCAAGAAAATTTAGCACTTCCAGTAATAATTGGTCAGTGGAGATACAAAAAATATAAATCCATTTTGATCCTTCGAGAAAATAAAGAGCCCATGATGCACTAACGAAGACTGTCAAATCCATTTTTATCTTGAGACTTCATGAAAAGTTAAATTTATGGAAAATTTAAACTGTTGAATAAAATTAGTCATAAGGGGACGAGTTTCCTCATAAAAATACTGTTATCTTGCTTTGTATAACTCTTCATTAAAAAGTAGTCCAAATTTGTTCGTCCCTTAAGTACGTTAAAAGCATTGGAATGGTGTTGGTTGTGCAGTGCGAGCAATTTCATTCCTTTTAAAGTATCAATTGATCATAAAAACAAAAGACCCCAAAAGATAAATAAGTTAAAAGTAAAAGTAAATCGAGTAAAAAAGCGAGATTTTGCAGACTGTATTAATGAAGTCTATTTCGTGTCACATTAAACCTCCTTTTTAAAATAGGGGCCAACTTATGGCTGGTTGCCGCTCATGAGATTGGCCACTCGTTAGGCCTGGGTCACAGCGTCATCTTCGGCAGTCTGATGTTTCCATTTCACTTCGGCTACGATCCCGACTTCACATTACACGAGGACGATATCAATGGCATACAGGCACTCTACGGTACTGCAATGTTCCACTGTCATTTTTACTGCCGGTACTTTCGCATTGTCGGCGTTACTTTACGGTCGACTAAATCACCACTATATTGGTATGCCCCATTCAGTACTGCAACACCCGTACTTGTATTTGAGTATACTTTCTGGTACACTTTCACTCCCTTGCTCGTTCCCATGGAAATGCAATGGACTATAGCACTGACACTATTACATGACAAAGTTTCAACGAAACAATACCGGGCACAAGATCCTTTAAGAGACAAGTCACCAGTAACAAAAGATACGCAACAATTGAAGGAATACCTTCGTTGCTGTTCATTTGAATAGCTTGCGACAATTACAAGTTCACATAGGAGGTCTTATGTTGGTCTTGTGATTGTTTTAAGAGGATTGGATTATACTAACTTTCATGTAAAGGATCAATACAGCATCTGTAGTTTTATCGTGTGAGTCACAAAATCTCCATCGATTCCACATCTGACCTACCACCGTTACCAATTTCCTTTTCTTTCTTCAAATACTTGACGGCGATTTTTGTTCACTGTTTCTCCAGGTGACGTTGTACCGACGCAAGTCACAGATGCCCCGGATATATGCCGCGTGGTGATGGACGCAGTAATGGTGGACGGATTTACATACATCTTTAAAGGTAGGCCCCAAGTGATATTTCAAATCAAGCCCCTTTCAACCGTGTCGCTGTTTTATAGTTTGGAATGACAAAGAATCAGTGAAACACGAATGCATAAGTTAGGATGATATTCTTCGGTCGTTCATTAGCAACTTCGTTACGAGTCCTTTTTGTAAATCCAAAATCGATGCCCAATCTCAAAGCACTGTTTAGCACATGATTCTTTGCCTAAAGGGTCTGTTATGAAGACCCATACGTGCTAAACTCGGTACAGTAAGATACTTTCCATGGACAAAATAATGTTTTAAAGAGTACTGAAGCAATTATGCGTGCGTTAGAACACCCTGGGTATGCTAAAATTGTTGCAGATTGTTTCTACATGAAGTAGAATCATGTTTCTGATCATCTTTTATAAGCAGTGCAATGACATCGGCCGCTGGTGTTCACACGAAAAGTGGAGATTTGATTTCTATCTTATTCTTATATCAGTTATGATCTCTTGCCTTTGAAGTATTTCTACGAACGCTATACATTTTTTTTCGTTGCAGGTGAATACTATTGGAAGATTTTCAACGGGCGACCAGAGCCCGGATTTCCACGGAGGATATCAGAACGGTGGCCCGGATTGGAAGGGAGCATCGATGCTGCACTCACCGTGAAAAATGAATACGTCTGGATGCCACACACGGGCAAAACTTACTTCTTCAAAGTAATACTTATGGCAGTGTTAAGCTGATAAAACTGAATTGCTCGTTTATCATCATCGCCAGCCCCGATTCCCCCCCCCCCTAATTTTTACAATATATGACGATTTATATTTTTGAAATGAAATTTTCACCTTTTTCAACTTTGAAGACTACATGGCACCGCAAAAAAATGGTCTGGTGTCTGTCTCTATGCTGTCGCAGAAGTCTTGCGCTATGTTCCTACGGTCGTGCGCTGGTCATTTATGCTTTACATGCTGTGGGCCAGTTTGTTTCACGCGGATCCGGATCGCGATCAGTGATGTGTTGCTGGTTCACTGACACCCAAACCCGCCTAATGGATGGAGCGAACCATCGATAGGATCACTGATCGAGATCCAGAGCGGTATGAAACAAACTGGCCTGCGGCGTGTCGTAGCTTGAAGCGTGTCTGACTTACGGTGAACTGTTAGCCGCCCCCCCATAGGATGGCAGTCCAAACATCAAAGGCCCTCCCCACCAAAAAAAATATGACTTTGAGTGATGATGAACAAGCAAATGATTTTGATCAACCTCTGTTAAATGAACCTTTGCTTTGAAACTACGTTGATATCATATGTGGTTGTTTCGAAGATCGGAAAAATGCAGATCAACTGTTGAAGCGAATCTTCATTTTGACCTCGTTACCTTTCCCTTGTTTCAAATTACAATTTTTTCACCTTTTTTTTCACCAACACGGCGGGCAGGGCAAAAATCCAAAATTAAATTAGGCTTTACATCTCTCCGACGCAAATCCATCCCTAGAAATACGACTTTTTCGTTTCAATATTCAACAAAAGGGAAACACTCTGTGATCACGGAAGTTAAGATGAAAAAATACATTCACCTTCTTTCTTTCTTTTTTAAATCAAAGGACCGGCATGTATGGCGGTACACTCTGAGCAGCCTCGACGAGGGTTTCCCCAAGGACGCTGCCGAAGAATTCCCAGGGTTTCCCTCGGACGTCCAGAAGATCAAAGGCATCTTCGAGATCAGCGGGAACGGGGAGACCTACATCTTCATAGGTAACTAGAAATGGCTGTTTTCTGCTCACGTGTTTGCCCACTGTTTCATCCACTGTGCCTCATTGAAGACCCTAGCATAAAGCCTTCCTTATAAAGTGATTTTTATGTGTATTTACACCTTGTAGATGGCGGCTTCTACGTGTACAGTTGGCTTGGTTTCCAAGGCCCCTATACCCTACAGGTTTTCAGTGGCGTTCCTACCAACATTGTTGGCGCAATTCAGTGGACCGACAACTACATCTATTTCTTCACCGACGACTTCCTGTATTACCAGTGCGGCCCCTGGAGCTTCACCGTCAGCCGCGGGTTCCCACAACACGCGCACGTGGACTGGATTGGTTGCTCAAGCGACTCGGCCGATAGCCTACGATTGGCTGGGACGGCCGAGACGTTGCAACATTCCGAGGGTCAGGATTTATTAACCGGAACTGGCTCAGATCGGTCGTCAGCGCAGGCCACCAGCACCTGGACGTTTAGCATGATTGCTCTCAGTTCAAGTGTAATAGCTTTGACATGAGTCGGCGTTCCTGATAGTGCAATTGGCGTGGCACCACAGCCTAGGCAATGCCAGCTAGTGGCAAGGGCCCAACTGCCTTGATAGCACAGGGATGTATCTTATGCTCAAGAAATATCTGTATACCAGGCCTTGCCATGGGCGTTGACAGGATTGTTGGGGTTTTTTTGGGGGGGGGGGGCAAAGACTCCTTGGTAGCAAACTGATATAACTGTTAATGGTTAACGGCGGAACGGGGCCAATTTCAAGGTATGTTGAAGCAAATTGGTCATTTTCGTCCCTTTCCTCCATTTTTGGTTTCTCTCGCTTTTTCCCCAGCACCATGCCTTCCTCCCCGCCTAGCCTACCTCAGGTCTCGCCCCTGTACCCTTCGTCTCATTTTGAACGCCCCAAAAAATGGCGAACCAGTTGAAATAGGCACAGAGGCGAAGACATAGCATGATTACTTTAGCATCACCCAAAGCATATTTAGAGCCGTATCTTAATAGATGTACTAATTTCATGAAAAGTTATTATTGGGGCGTGGTCGGCTGACGAGGCCGGTTAATACAACAGGTGGAATATACACACTGTGCCAAGGACCTACGAAAATTTGGAGACCAATCAGGAATTGGAATTCCTAAGAAACATTTGAAGACCTACAAAAGTTATAGTGTACCACAAAATACATACACTCTTACGCAGATAAAGAAAAATGTTTCCTAAAAAGTTTATTTTTTTTCTTCAGAATTTTTGATTTGGAGGAACTTTAATCATAGCTAGTTTCACAGCTTTCTAACAGTATTGCTGACCAGCAAACTCAAATTGATGTTGGTATACCATAAAAACTCCACATCCGGTCCTAACTGTATACTGCAGACATTATAGGACAGACTATCGTGGAGCATCGGATGAACGAATCCGTTTCTAAATTGGTATCTCCGAGTAACACATAGAGAATATTAGACTTCGACACTTACCGGTACATTAGTACAGTATATGAATGATAACGTTCTTACTTGAACGTTGGCTTAAATGCAAGTGGAAGGTTCGTACGAAAGCCTACTAATGGCATATAAAAAAGTAAAGTATGCATTTTCTAAAACTGAAGTACCGGTGAAGTGTTTCAACTTCGTTTTTATGAGATTCTTTTCCGAAGTTAGATCTTACCAAATAGGTAATTTGAAGTTCGTTTTTACGAGATCGATCTTTAGATATATATATAAAAAAGGTTTTTGAGGAATACATTTTCAACTTGGTTTTATAATATATTTCTCAAGGTTATTTGTGAAGATACACTTTTTTCAAGTTTTGTTTTAGGAGACTTTCGTTTCGAGATCTAATTGTTAAAACATTTTTATGTATGAAATATATTTGTAAAGTTTAATTTCATGAGAAATATTTTGAGATCGCACTGTGTTGTTTAAACGACCTCTCGCCTGAGAGCCAACGCCCTCAATTCCCCAAACGCATTTCGTAAACTTTACACATTCAGAAAACAAGTCTGAAAATTTATATTTTTCTTTTTCAAGGCATACACCTCTTAAAACGACTTTCCACCCGAATAGAAATAATTTCCACCCAATTAAAAATAATGTCCCAAGAATAATTTTCGTTAAAACGACCTTGGGAAATATTATCTCGTGAAAACTAACTTGAAAAAAAAATCTGATAAACTAAAAAATGCATTTGTACTTCACTTTTAAAATGTGTATTTCATAGCATTATGGGATTTGGTATGGAAAAGTGTGAATTGCACATAGCCGCATGAGACAGTTGACCACTATGACTTGCCAACGAGGTTAGGAGGTTTTTTCAAAGCGGGTTTTTATCTCGAGTGACTTTAATATAACAACTGTTGCGCTGCGAATAACCTTTTTCACGTCTATACTAATGGTCTAAGGAAAGTCTAAACCCAAATGTGGCGTCATCATAAAATCTAGCCAAAGATTAGAATACATTGATAGGTTTGAAAATTTCAGAATCTTTGCGAAAATAATTGGAATTGGGAGACGAAATGCCGACCTGTTTCTAATTTGTGCGCCACCCTTACATGTACGAGTGTAGATACAGGCAAATTAGATAATATTGAAATAATTGTGTCATAATAGTGTATATACAGAATTTTGTTGAATACTTTTAAGAGTTTATATCTAACTTTAGAAGGTTCAGAAAACTTACATTTGCAATAAAATACGAACAACTTGCAATGCAACTTAGTGAGTTATGATATTGCACACCTTTTTTCAAATACATGGACAGCATTTTGAGCCAACTGAAAGGACAATATCGAGTTCAAGAAGCCTCATATACAAGACGATAACATAGATAAACCAACAGCAGCCACAGAGAAATAAGAATGGAAAATATGCCCATTCGTACATTAGTTATGTGTAACGTTTGCTTTTTCATTCCATTAGGCTTCGTGCTCTGTAAAAAAATGTTTTCAAACTACATAATATATTAAATTAAACTTGTGTTCATTATTCAAAATTACAAAAACTATGCGAAGTTCACAAATAAGGTTCATGTGCATTTGTTGCCACGAAAAAGCTCTTAAATCATATGTGACATTTTAATAAGACACACAGACTCAACACGAAATACAGAAATCACTTGCAAATAAGTAAGAGAAAATGGATTAGTTCTTCAATTTCGAATACAACAAATAAATATTCCCTTTCAGCAAGTACACTTGCAAATTGGTTGTTTTTGTACATTTTGCCTCAGTTTTTAAGAATCTAACAGATTGATGTGTTACAAGACAGCTACATCTGACAGATAAAACCTTTGGTTTAACATAGTTTCAAAAGCCAACATACTATCCAAATACTGAGATCTAAAAATGTCAAGTGCATATTGAAACAAGTTGGTATGTGCTTTGCTTGCTCTCTAAATCTGAAAATATACAACACTCCTGTTTTTAACCCAATGTAATGTACAGAATTAGGATAAGTGGACAACTTGATTGTCAAAGTTTACCATACTGGAAAATAAAGCCCGAAACGATTTTTTTTCTTACAAAGTCTCCCCTTCATCATACTCACCACCAATGCAGGATTCATTCTAATGAGGCATACGTAAAAATAAGAACCCGGACTGGCAACGTGTCCTCTAACAGCAATCATGACCAAGCAGTTAGGAGAGATCTATCGAATGCATTGCTATGCTCACAGCATGTACAGGAGGCGTTTTAGTGAGGGATTGATGACCCAACCATCAAGTTTCCAATCCAGGGCAAGAAAATCCATATCCTCGACTTGCTCCTTTACCACCAGGCTCTCTTGGTCAATTGTGTCTTCAGTTCTGCATGAGAAAGGAAAACCATGAAGGCTTTTAAAACCTGCAGTACAGAGCTCTGGCTGGAACAATCTTGTGACATTAATGAAAGACACATGAAACTAATGCCAGTTGCTTTGGAAGTGAAGCTACAGTGTTATAGTCAGGTAATCGAATGTCCACCTTAGGACGAGCAAACATCATCCAGTATTTGACTTTCCATGGAATCAATTAACAGTGAAGTAATAACGTATCAATCTTTAATGCATCCTGGTAAAGTTGCCAACTGACTTTACAGTTGAGAGCGTTTGAACTTCTTTTTTCATTGATCCTCATCGACCCTCAAACTTCATAGAACAGAAATAAAGCCAATGATATCAGGTTACTGCTAGGACTAAAATGCTGCAAATGATTTTTAGTGTGTAACAATATGAAATTGAGATTCTATCTGAAAATTTACAAAGAATGCAATTCCGACAGTACTGTCTACAAAAATCCTGTTCCAAACATATAGTTACTTTATTTTTGTCACTTCAAATTAATTCATTTTGTTCCGTTTGAATTGTCGGAGCTTTCTATTTCCCATGTTCACACATAATCGCTGTAGTGTGACCGTTCCAGAAGAGAGCAAATGGCACAAGAGTTTTTGGACCAAAGTGGGTGAAACTGTCTGCCTCAACCAGTTGAAGGGCATCTTGAATCTGATCTGTGTTCACATCCACCACAGCCTCAAAGACAGCAGTGTTAAACTCCTAAAATGAAGAGAAATCTCAAAGTTTATGTATATGATCCCCATCATTCAAAAGAATACCGAAGGAAGGAATACATTTTTGACAAGTACAAGCTCTAACTGTGCTGAACTCGAAGTCAAGTTTGCACAATGCCTATGGAACTCTGCCAACTATCAGATAGCCTAATCAGTTCAATTTATTCATTTCAAAGCAAAATGTAACAATTGCTCATTTAATAGCCAAAACTTGCAGGAAAATGTTTTGTTTTTACAAAGTACGTGTATCTGTGAATAGACAAAACGCCAAACTTATATCAAAAAAAAATTGAAGACGATTCAAACATATCCTGAATTTTTGGCGCGTATTAAGCCTGTTTTCTGCAAACAGCTCCACAACATTACCCGGAAGATTCTCAAGTTCACCACCACAGTCTTTGTGTCAAATGCAAATATCAATCAATATCAATGTTAAACGTCCCATCCTTTAAAACAAGGTTGTGTTTGCTACACACATGCAGCTAACTCACAGGTAACTAAACTTTTCTTTCGATGGCAGAACCTTGAAAGTGCAGTGTAACAGGTTCCACCTACACAGGACTGAACTTTTCACATTATTAAAGCACATTATTGCGAGGCTGAATTTTCCATTTATTTCCTGGTTCAAACTATTCACATACACAAACAAGACTGGATCCATTAAAATACAGCGGAACGAGCAGGGCTATGGCCCCCTCTGTCCCTTTGTAGTCCTGTATTTCAATAATCTCTATCCGCAACTACAGACACACCATCAGCTACAACCACAGTGAATCAATTTATTACCTCACCGCAGGTACCAGTTTCACAGCTAACATTTCCTGACCGAGGACTGGATAATAACTCGTTTGAACTGCATATGTTCTACAGAAATTCAGGTATGAAAGGAAGGGACTTCAAGACTAGGACGTCAAGATGAACATTTCTAGGTTTGCTTTTGTAAATGTTGAGAAACTCTTTAGACTGTATTGACACATATAGCCAACAATTCACCTGCGCGTACAAATACTATATGATGTTTACACTTCTTTC